GGACATGAGAAGGACTAAACTAACTTAAATTTCTCTCTTCAGAACTCATGTACACCACAAGTACTCAATCACATAGGAACAGCCAATGTTCACAACCGACCTAGTTAATCTATATAATAGGAATATCTTTAAAACATCTCTGTACATTTTTATCTTTCAAGATGAAAAATGTCGTCTTATCTATCTTTATCTATGGTATAAATCCATAAAGTTAATTACGTTTTAGGCAGAGGCTTGAAGGACTTAGCTGTTTATACTTTAAATAAACAGACAAATTCATAAACCTATGTAAAAATTCTGCGCAGATCAAGACGACTTTTTAGACATTATAACTGGGACTCCCTGTACCTGACAGTGAAGACGGAGTTCTGTCCATTGTAGTGCATCCTCCTCTCCTGAGCCTTGATGAAGATATGACTCTGATCTCCCAGACAAGCGGTTATTGAGGCGAACTTGTTTCCCAACCTTACCTGACAAACATGGATTTATATATATTCAATTCTAATTGATTGGATTCTTTCGATTTTGATCCAGGTCCGGGATCCTACAATTTCGTTAAATCAAATAAGTTTAAAATATCAAAAGTTTACACCATCAAGTCGCAAAGATGTAGGGAATTTGAATTATTATAAAATTTGTATCTCTGATAAGAGAACGGGCCAAAGGTTAATATTCAGAAAACTAAAAATCCTAAGTTTGAGCAAATAAAATAACCTAAGAATTCTTTATTATTAATATTAATTATCGGACATCTTCAAAAAATCTCAATATTTTCACTGCTTTAAGTAGACCAATATTCAGTTCATCTGTTTAGATCATTAATAAAAACCTAATTGTCATCTTCATGTTTATAAAGTAGTAATCTCTGTTTGTTTTTCAAGTTTGGTTGGATGTCCGATCGTAACTCAGTATGAGTAATCCCTTGACTTATTTGTTTCAAAGTTTATTTTGGGAACTCGGGAGAACCTCGAAAATGTTCTAAGCTTGATTTTGAGATTCTAAGATTACGGCCAAGCGCGGGTAAACTGCTGGAGTAACTTTTTTCATAAGTTAAAAAATGTAACCTACTCAATTCCGATAGATAATATAGTTAAAATATTGCTAGTGCTATAATAAAAAATGCACCAAACATGATTCTTAATTTCATTGGGTTGTTTAGGTTTAGAGTATTTTCCTTCCCAGTGGATGGACTAGACTTGAGTAGGATGAACATTTTGTCATTTCTCCGTTCCACAACAGTTAATCCGTCCGGCTTCTGTTGTATATGGATCTATACCACAACATTTACAGCAGAGATTAAAAACTGTGCTCTGTATTTTTTAAGGGTATATTGTATGAGAAGAGATAACATTATGTTTATGTTTGTTTATAATATTTACTCGTGAATATGTGAGTCTTTTTTGGTTAAAATAATTTTCTTTAAATATTAGGCTTCATTTAATTCCTTGTAAGCAGAAGTGTAAATTAATTGAGTCATTGCGACTTACTCAAAATTTCTAGTCCCTACATCTTTGCAACCTGACGATGTGAACCTTTGATATTTCAAACCTAGATTTTTTTGAATTAACATGATTTATAGTTTAAATATCTAAGGTCTACAACATTGAGTTACAAAGATAAAGGGTTCAGGAAATCTGAATTTGTGCCAAAGATTCAATTTCTTTCAAATCCAACACATAACAATTCAATTTCTTTCAAATCCAAATGTATTTTAAATGTGTAAAATGTTTCCTGTCCAAAGACCCAGCAATCCTCTTTCTTATAGTTTCTCCAATACTGAGCTTTACTGAGCTCTAGAGAACAGTCCACACTATCCTCCAGATTCTGTTTACATGATTCCCTTGACAGTGAACAATAATTTAGTTAAAAGATAGAAAAAAAATATTCAGAAGACTATTAGATCTGAGGCGCGGTTTGAGAGGAATTAGCAGAGCTTAAGATCAAGATCAGTTGGATCCGCAACATTTTGGCTTTCTGGATCCGGATACAAGAGTTCATCAAGTTTCAGCATAAAAATAAGTGGGAAAAAGAAGTACAATTATAAAATTCTTATTTTGTAAATAAAATCAGTAAATTAAAATTGGAAAGAATGTATAACAACTAATAATTGTCATACAACAGGGCGAGACCTGTAACTTTATCACCTTGCTATTAAAATTTCGAATTTCATACCTAATATTTCCATTTGTAGCTGGCGATTAAGTGAATTTATCGCCCTACAACAGGGCAAAAAAGTAACTTTATCGACCTCCTTTTAAATAAGTAGAGTAAAATTAAATAAAACTATATTTGTTGTTGTAATGTTGTATCATGCGTGCGAGAAATGTTTTGCTGTGATTTTTACTTTTTCTATATTGTTTTCGATCAAAATAAAAGTATTTTCATTTCGATCTGAAACAAACTAGAAAACATTAAAATCCTGGCAAAACTTAGTTGTTCTGAATAATATCCATTACAATGACGTAAAAGAAATTTTCATAAATGGATCCGAATCCGGATCCATTTTTTAGGGCGGATCAAGACCTGGATCTGTTTCCCCGCATCAAAATTAAATGGATCCTAGGCACTGGAAATTAAGTATCAACACCTGCCTCGAACTCTTATATTAAATCGCAAAATTTTTCAAACTAATAGTGTAAAAGTTTCAAACTTAATAACTCTGCTATGACATCAGCCACCTTGAAAATTATCACCGTTTACTGCCTTCCCAAAACTTTGGAAAAAGGACAGAGACTAAATAAATACTACATCTCAATAAATGAATCCCTATATCTGTGCAACCGATGTCGTAGACCTTTGATATTTTAAACTGTGAATTCTGTAAGATAAAATAATTCAAGTTTAAAATATTAAAGGTTTACACATCAACTAAAAAAGATATAGGATGTTTAAAATGTTGGGAAGATATAAGGAATAGAAAATTAGAGTTTAAGGAGAGTACTCTATTGAATGATCTACCTGAAGAGGGTCTCAGCGACGTTGTTCTCGTAGAGATCGTGGAACATATCTGATGTAGTTCTAGCTCCAGCCACATCCACCAGGTATACCAGGGTACTGTTGTTAGCAGTGAAACGTATACCTGGATACAATAATATTATCATCCTAATTCTTGTTTCAAATCTTCTAAAGCCGCTCAATCTTAACAAAATGAACACTTAAATCCGTTTCTTTTTTATTCCCGACAAATACAACCTAGTTTCATTTATAGCAAATGATTCCCTAATCTTTATTTTCAAGAGAGAAACAAAATTCAACCGCAAGTTAGATTTAGTATAGTTCAGTATGGATCCAGGTCGTCGTAAAAGTTTCATCCTTGGTGGGTCACTCTGTATAGTGTACAATATTAACAGTAAATCTATCTTTATAACAAGACATTCCCGTATATGTTGCGTAGAGCCGATTGGCCTGGTTTTTTTTTTGACACTCATGGGTGGCCGGGGGGTGTAATTGGCTGGGAAAAAAATCGAAACTTCATTATTTTTTTCTCTCTCAAAGTTGTTTTAACGGGCAACGCCGGGCCCTTCAGCTTGTTCTCGAATAAAACCCTTCATGTGTTATTTCTCTGTAATAGTCCTGAACTACTCATTGACTACCTGTGTATATAGTCCTAAACTACTCCTAGACTGACTACCTGTGCATATAGTCCTGAATTACTCATAGACTGACTACCTGAGTTTATAGTCCTGAACTACAAATAGACTGACTACCTGTGTATATAGTCCTGAACTACTCCTAGACTACCTGAGTATTAAGTCCAGAACTACTCCTAGACTAGACTATCAAAGCATATGTCCTAAACACCTCCCAGACTAGACCACCTTAGTATATAGTCCTGAACTACTCATAGACTGACTACCTGAGTATATATAGTCCTAAACTACTCCTATACTACCTGTGTCCTTAACTACTCCTAGATGACTACCTGAGTATATAATCCTGAACTGCTCATAGACTACCTGAGTATATATAGTCCTGAACTACTCCTAGACTAACTACCTGAGTATATAGTCCTGGACTACTCCGAAATTGGACTACCTAAGTATAAAGTCCTGAACTACTCCTAGACTAGACTACCCGAGCATATATTCATCACCTCCTAGACTAGACTGAGTATATAGTCCTGAACTACTCCTAGACGAGACTACCTTAGTATATAGTCCTTAGCTACTCCTAGACTGGACTACCTGAGTATATAGTCCTGAACTATTCCTAGACTACCTGAGTATAAAGTCCTGAACTACTCCTAGACTAGACTACCCGAGCATATGTTCCTAAACATCTCCTAGACTAGACTACCTGAGTTTATAGTACTGAACTACTCCTAGACTAGAATACCTGAGTATTTAGTCCTGAACTACTCCTAGACTACCTCAGCATATAGATAGATAGATAAATATTCATCATTAAAGGTTTTAACTTTACATAGTTATATCTTTTAATACACTAGACTACCTGAGGAGGAGAATATAGTCCTGAAGAGAAGATATCATGAGTAGTACTAGAAAACCTAGGAGAGAACAGAGATCCAGCCAAACTGAGCAGATACAAAATTAACAATGAATTTACGTTATAAAAAGAACTGTTGAATAAAATTAAGTTAATTTAAAAAATTCTCTTAAATCTGTTTTGGTTTACAAATTATGCAATGGCATTTATATATATTACTGATTAGTTCAGAAATAAAATTCGATCCTATGTGAAATGTGAATTTGAGTAAAAGAATGGTTTAAGTTTATATTTTGTTTTGATTTTTTACACTTTACTTAGTACATACAAAATATTCGTTCATCGAGCTTTGAACGAAACAATTTTTAAACCCGTTGCTGATACATACCTAACATTATTCTCCGTAACTCTGAACTCATCCCTCGGCCAGCACTGTTCCTCTCTACCACTATTATCAAGCACTGCAAAGAGCTGAGGTGGTCCAGAAAAGACAGGGTTAAACCCACGAATATCTGGCATGATCTCATTGTATCTCCTTTCTTCAAACCTCTGTGGAGAGTTGATTATTATATTTGGTTCCGCTGATACTCTAGATACAGGAATACTTCTCGTCTGCTGCGCCAGGGATCCGTCGGAGTTCTGGAACGAGTACTTACCATTCCTTACACTCTTCAGGTACTCATTCCGTTCCTGTTCCTTGGAAGCCTCCTTCCTTTTCTCGATAATAGAAACTCTGCCTTGGCTGGGACTGTCCCCGTTTCTACCGGAACCTTTTTAGCGATAGGAGGAGTAGCAATCTTAGCACTTAGATCTGGCACTTGCTCCGGGATTGTGATACTTTTAGCGTAGGATTTCTTGGCAGTAGCCTTTACCATAGGAGTGCTCCAAGGAACCCTTGGAACATCATCATTCCGGGGTTTTAGGACTGGCCTTTTTTCAGGCTTTAAAGCAGATTCTTCTGATTTGATCGGTGTATTTGACTTTAAGATCCGAGTACTCTGCAAGTTCTTTACCTCACCCTGAACTTTGGTCTCAGAGATCTTTCCGTCATTTCCGTTCCTGTTCTGCAGGGCGAACTTCTCTTTGAGAACAGGTTTCTCCTTCTGTCCTCTGGGAAGATCATTTTTGACTCCGATATTCTCCTTGTTCTCTGTTCTCTCCTGTTTTGTCATTGTTCCGTTTTTTGTCAGATCTAGCAATAGAGCAAGCGATTTTTAAATTTTCATATTTATGATAAAGATTAATGATATTTTATATGTATATACAATTTAGCAAAAGCGTAAACAAACATAATCACATGAACGACATTTAAAGGTGTTAGAAAATACAAAGTTTTACTCAAGGATTTAGCTTCTATTTTATAATTTTTACAATGTATGTATAAAGGAATTGAGTCTTTGCCACAAACTCTCATTTTCTAATCACTATATCTTTGGAACCAAAATTTGTGGACCTTAGATATTTCAAACTATGAGTTCTGTTAAATCAAATAATCAGAGTTTGAAATATCAAAGGTTTACAACATCGGGTTCAAAATATATTGAGGTTTAAATATTTGATTTTGTTACAAAGACTCAATTCCTTTACAAAAATTTCAATATTCTTGGTTAATAATTGTAAAAACAAACATTTTGATAATAAACTTGTTTCAGTTGATAAAAAATAGTATGAAAGTTTAAAATAATTTAATATCTCCAATTCGAAAAAACCAAAAGTTATTCCACATATCAAAATAGTCTACTGGACAATAATATATTTTTTGAGACAAGAATATGTCTTGTATATTTTAAACTGGAACCTTTGACTGCTAATATGGAGTTAAAGACGTTTTTATTACTCCATCAAGGCAATCCTGACTTCGGCACCATGACGAACTCAGGAGAAAGAAAAAACCAACTACGGAAATTTTAAACCCCTAAATCTCCGCTCCTATCATATATAATCTATACTCTTGGCCCCCCTGGCAGCCTACGGTGCCGTAGACGGCTAAACCTGACCAATAAAAATTAGGCAGTTAAAAAAGTTAAAAAAGTTAAAAAACTATTTGGATGATAACTCCCCTTAACCACGAATGACGTTGCTAGTTAGTTATGGGTTTTAAGTTGGATCTTTAAGTTTTTTTATTACCCAGGGTGAGATTATGTCTGTGTAAAACCGAGTTTGAGAAACACAGTTTTTATTGGACTATATACTGCGTTGTTTATCTTTAGAACTTTCTGTTCATAATAACTCATAGGAACAATGGTTTTCCCAACTTTTTAACTTTCAAGAGATAAGAAGATGATTACGGTTTTCTTAGCAAGGGCTATAGTAAAAGTTTCCGAGAGCTGCGGCAAGGACAGGCTTAGGGGCCGAGCGCTGCAGCCACATTGTCAAATTGAAAAAGTGATGATCTGTGGGGGTAGGTTAGGTTTAGACTATTTCTGGGTCAAGCGCTGCGGCCACATTTATCATTTTGATAAAGCAAACGCCGATAGGTGGGATTAGATTAGGTCAAGACAATTTCTGGTCCGAGCGCTGCGGCTACTTAATTCTGTTCATTAGACCTATAAAAAATGTGCATGCATCTTTCCTACATATGTGTACATCTAACCTATATAACGTGTGCATCCGACCTACAAAATGTGCTCATCCAACCTACAAAAGTTGTGCATTCGACCTACAAAAGTTGTGCATCGATCTACTAAGTTTGTTCATCTGACCTACAAATGCAATGCATCCGACCTATAAAATGTGCGCATCCAACCTACTGTAAAGTGTGCAACCGACCTACAGTAAGTCGGATACACTTTTTTCCAATGGAGTGTGTATCCGACATACAGTTCAACGGACCAACAGCAGCTAGAAGCTGCTGAAACACTACGTTCGGGTAGGTCCGAAGTATCGTAGGACAGATGTAATACAATCGACCATTTGCTGGAAGATATATTGGTGCGGCTAAGGATGCGCTATGGGTGAGCGCCTTGCCGCAAGATAATGCTTGTGAATACATTGCGGGATGGAGGCTTCACGGGTGTGGCCTGCCTTCCCTCCCTCCTCAGGATAGGTAAAACGTGATTAAGAGACCCTATCTCTGCTGGGGTACTTGAAAACCAGGATACGCTGGGGGGGGGGTCAATTTGACCCCGCCCCCTCTAAATTCCACGTTTGATGTCCAAATATGACAAATGATACATCAGTGGAAGGCTCTTGTGCTCTACTTTTAAAATCTGCCAAAAAATTTGCAAATTTGCAAAAATTGATTTTTTTTTCGCAAAATCCAGTTATATAGTAAATATGTTTGCAAAAAAAATTTGTCCAAAAAATGAAAAATTATACATTTTTGTAAAGCCTTTGACCATGCCATTTCAAATATGCAAAAAATTTTGCAAAATTTTAAATAACCTCATTTTTAATCAAGAAAAACTAAAAATGTGCAAATTTCCTTTGACAGGTTGTTTGCAAAAAATTTGCATTTTTTGGCAAAACTTGTGCAATTCGTTTCCTGTGTCAAAGGCTTTCCAAAAAGATNCAGAGATCCCACAAGTTTAATAGAATCTTTCTCGATCGAGAGCATGTTGGATTCCAGTATTCATTCTTCACATTTGGTTTCTAAGACTCGGTAAAAAAATCCTCTATTAATCAGAGATCCCACAAGTTTGATAGAATCTTTCTCGATCGAGCGCATGATGGAATCCAGTGTTCATTCTTCACATATGGTTTCCAAGACTCGGTAAAAAATCCTCTACATATCAAGAGATCCCAGAAGTTTGATCGAATCTTTCTAGATCGAGAACATGCTAGATTACTATTAAATTCCGACTCCATTTGACTCCCTTTTCGTTGATTCATCATCGCCACTTGTATACGAATTTCTGTCCAATCTACTCATCACAATCCCTCAGAAATAGCATTTTCCTGAACATGACACAACACAAAATGTAATAAAATGAAAATGGTCGAAAAATAAAGTACTCTTTTTACGATCTGTTTGTAAATTGTTTGATAAAAAATCGAAATCACAAATACACGAGTTTAAATGTTTAGTTCATAATTACTACTTCAAATTTACAATGTAGGATGCATTTATTTAATTTATATACAGATTTCAGAGTATGTATTTACAGAACGTACTAGTGTGTGTGTAGTGTACTTTATGATTGTTTACATCTGCTTCAATTTAAGCATTATTTTAAACAATTCAAATTCAACAAAAAGTTTTAAATTTTCTCTAAAATACTTCTTAGGTCACGATATAGCCGCTAGTGAGGTATAAAAATATAAGTACAATTATAATTTCAGGCGCCACAAGGCACTCGGATCATCATTTCCGTCTTAATCCAATCTTTGCTCGGCTTAATTTTGATAGCAGAGTGGTTTCGATTCCTGTTATTTATTTCTGTGCGGGTTTCAATACAGATTTACCCACATCCTTCGGCTGGAGTTTGGTTCGCCCTGCCCAGGTGACAGTTCTTTCCCGCTTCATGGGAACCTTGTTCTCTGTCTCTCATCTCTTTCTCTTGGTTCCACTAACCGGGGTTTCCGTGTTCCCGTTCCGGTTTCGGAGAATCCGCGGAGTTTCAGGATTCTTAGACTTTACTCCCTTTTCCAGATTGGACCGGAGAGCACGCACCTCTTGGGTGAGGTGATCAGTCTGTTGGACTCACCTTCTGCTCCATGGCCTGAAAGAACACACAGATAACATAAGGCAGATAGTTGTCGACTAGTACTTAAGATTAACATCTAGGTGAAGAAAAAAAGACTTCAAATGGAGGGCATGGAGAAAAATGTTACATGGAAGCATAATACGAAGCCAAAAAATGAAGTAATTATCAAACAATACCAAAGATATCACACCTTTAATTTATTGGTTAGATCTTGACACTTTTTCTCCACCCCTGCTAGTTTAGCGGCAGGAACCATATTGTCGGAGATATTCTCCATATCAGAATCATCCTGTCCCAACCCTTCAATAGATCGTTTACGTCGACTAGGTTTCAAGACCGGTCGTCCACTAGACTCTCGTTTCTTAGATCTAATATTTGCGGCAGGACTATTTATGGCAAGGTTGGCTAGTTCTCTACTAATCGATTTTCTAGCTCCAGGTTTAGGTTGAACTACAGGACTATGCTCTGTATCGGAGCTTGAGATCTCATTCACCTAAACGTAAGAATTATAGATAAAAATCAAAATGGAAATATTGTTTTTTAATTTTGAAATTCTTAAAATCGAGAAAAAATCAACATTTTTGATCTAACCGATCATAAACCGTTTTGACGTTTATTAAATTCAAACATCCGAACCCAAAGTCAAGGCAAAAGGAGCCAACCTCAGCAGTAATCAGCTCTTCATCTGTGAGGGCTGAGTTGGAGGCTATGTTGTTCCGGAAGAAAAGGTGGTTGATATCGGATTCGTCGACATACTCCGAGGTCAGGGAGTCCGGGTATAAGAACAGGTCCGGAGAAGACAGGTTAATTGATAAGGATATGGTATCACTGACGTTTGGCCAGAGTTTTTTGGCAGGAATAATCAGAGGTTCAGGGAGGAATTCGCCAAGTAGGGAGAATTGACCTCTAAAAACGGAAGTGTTGTCATTTGATAGCCAGAGGACTACAGAGCCTACAATCTTTCCATTCCAACCCATGGAATTAAGAACATTGGCGGACCCCGGTCCTGGGCCGCCGGTGGTGATGGACTTCAGGATCGGCAAGGAAAACATCTCCCCTGCAGCAAAACCTCGGCCTTTCAGAGTTATCTGTTTTGGTTTAGGCAGCATATTACTTCAGGTAGAGCTGAAAAATAGCCGATTAAACGATAAAATAAAAATTAAACAAATAGGATGAAAAAAAATTTTTTTTTAGAAATCTTTGAAAAAGTTCAAAGGAAAGTAAGCAAACTAAATTGGAAGAAAAAGGGAATAATTCCTCCTTTAGTGTACTGTAAGGTAACTAAAAAGTTAAAAAAAAAGAAAAAAGGTAAAAAGAAAACCGATTTGAAAACAAACAAAACAGTTACCCTGACATAAGCAAGGAGAAAAAATTTTTAGACAGTAAACAAAAGAAAATGTAGAAATAGGTGTATAAAATGGTGGAAGAAATAAACCCTTTTGTTTCTAAAAATCCACGAAATCTTAGCAATAAAACAGAGAAACTAATTGATGTTTTAACAAAGAAAATATAGACCAAGATGTAACACTGAAGTCGGTAGACGAAGAACTGACCTAAACTACCTGCCACAGGCCGGGAGTAGAGGCAGAGAAACTCCCCCCGCGCAATCAGCTGACCCGACCAGACACGTACAAGGATTTGTAACCCCCTGGTGGCCGGGGTCGACACTAACCAGGGGCCTAAAATAACATATTTATAAGTATAGTATAATAAAATTTCTACAACAACTCTATTGGTTTTCTTATTCCTGTGATACTGATTTTCGCCATTCTTTCTTTCTTTTCATTCTGCAGGGGGGGGCGCGCCCCCCCCTCTCAGGTGCTAGGGGAGGGTGCGCGCCCGGTCGCCATTCCTAGTTGCGCCTCTGGATAGCTCAAATGAACATATTTTATAATAAAACAAAAATTTCCAATTATTTACAAAAGAAAAGTTGATTAAAAAATGATTTACCCTTAAAATGTTATCTAATTGATTAGTCAACTTTATTTTTAGAACAATCAAAATTGTGCATTGAAAATAATTCAAATAGAAGTGTTGATTTTAACCTAATGTTCCTTTGCCAAAGTTTGGAATTGTAATAACTGACGTGAAAAAATGTAAAATTAAAAAAAAAACTTGTGCATAATATGACCATTTAACATTTGGACTAACGTTCAATATATATGCACTAAAATATTCACAAAAATTAAGTGAATTTGATTACATTTCGGTGTGGAATTGAATTTTCAGTTATAGACATCAAAATGGTAATTAGGCGACAAAATATTTATGCGCTTTAACATACTTATTATGTTTCTGGGATCAATTGCATTAATTGTATTAGTATAGATCCTTTGTACCAGATATTTTTTCTTAGAAATATTGTTTCTTCCATTGAACCATTTTTTATTATGCATTTACGTCCAAATTAAATATAACTATAGGCCGTTTTTGATCATGCTGACATAAGTGTAATTAAACATTATTTCAGTCTGACTAAAATCAATCAAATCGATAAAGAACCTACAAAACAAAGGAATGTCGGTTCAGTAAAATGATAAATTACAAAAATAAAGAAGAAGCAGTTTGGTGAACAACGGTTCATGGAATTGACCGTTGGAGCATCCTTCAGAAATTTAGTTGAGTGCAAACTCTAAAAACTATAAAATTATTTAACAGCATAATGAGGGCATACAAGTTGTAAAAGGAAAAAGGTTCCACTGCCAAATACATTTAAAAAGCAGATTGTCGGGATATTTCGAGATATGTTAAAATCAAAAATAAAAGAAATCTTATAAAATATCACAGTGCATGGCTGAGCTCCCCCCCCGCCCCAGAATTCTAAATCGAATACATTTACATTAATTTGCCCCTTTTCTATGCTCCTTAATACAAAAATAATCTTGTTTTCTACATGATCAAACATCCGTCTTGTGTTAACGTCCAAATGTAAAAAGAACGCCACCTAGTGATGATGTCCAACTGCTAGAAGAACACCAGCTAATGATGGTGGCCAACTGTAAAAAGAACTCCAGCTAGTGATGGTGTCAACTGTAAGAAGAACGCCAGCTAGTGATGGTGTACAACTGTAATAAGAACTCCAGCTAGTGATGGTGTCAACTGTAAAGAACTCCAGCTAGTGATGGTGTCAACTGTAAGAAGAACGCCAGCTAGTGGTGGTGGCCAACTGTAAGAAGAACGCCAGCTAGTGATGGTGTCCAACTGTAAGAAGAACGCCAGTTAATGATGATGTCCAACTGTAAGAAGAACGCCAGCTAGTGATGGTGTACAACTGCAAGAAGAATGCCAGCTAGTGATGGTGTCCAACTGTAAGAAGAACGCCAGCTAGTGATGTCCAACTGTAAAAAGAACGCCAGCTAGTGATGATGTCCAACTGTAAGAAGAACGCCAGCTAGTTATGGTGTCCAACTGTAAGAAGAACGCCAGCTAGTGATGGTGTCCAACTGTAAGAAGAACGCCAGCTAGTGTT